CCCCCCCCCCCCCCCCCCCCCCCCCCCCCCCCCCCCTTCGACCCGCCTCCGGCAGTCGCCCTTCCATGTGATGCTGCTGCTTTCCTTCCTGCACGCGCTGACGAGTGTCCTGCCTGCGGTGTCCGGCTCGGCAGGCGCCGCGGCCCCCTCCGAGCCATCCATCCTGTCCAGCATCCCGACTCCGGTCAAGGTGATCGGCCGCACGGCCATGACCCTGGCGTCCGGTGGCGCGGTCTTCGTCGGCGCCTACATCCTGGCCGCCAACTGGGTCTTCTCTTGATCGGCGGGGGAGCTCCCAGGGGTTCGGGGGGGTGCACTCGGCCACAATCCCTGCGGCCCTGTGCCTGCTCGCGCCCCCCGCAGAGGCACATCCCTCCCCCATTAGACGGACATGCCTCCCGCCTGTTTGCGCGATCTCCCTCCCTCCCTCTCTCTTTCTCTCTTTTTTCTGCTGCCGCCAGCACCACTCTCTCCCAAGAATATATCCCCCCAAATTGCATGCTGCTCTTGCTCTGCCCACCATCCCCCCCCCCCCCCCCCCCCCCCCCCTCTGCCCCCATAACCGCGCCGTCTCGCGGCCAATCCTGGACCACATTCGGACACCCCCCGCCCCAGCCGCCCCGCGGTCTCGCGATGTCGCCCCCGACCGAGACGGGGCGGGGCGTCCGCGATCCGGGTGTTGCGACCGGGCGATCGGCCATTGCGTTGGCAGTGGCGGGCTCGCGGTTGATCGTGGGGCAAGAGGCCCCGGACCCACGGAAGTGGGCGACCAGGAGGCACGCCTGGGGACGACCGTCCTCCTGAGGCGGCCAGCACCAAGCGCGAGATCGGGGCCGGCCGCCCCTCCCACCGGTGCGCCCCAGATGTCGGCAGTGCTCGGTCGAGTGACGCTGGCAGGGGGGGGGGGGGGGGGGGGATTCGCCACCACGTCTCCTCCGGGCGGATATAAATTACCCGCTATTGGGGGTGGGTCTGGTGGCCCCGACGGTCAAAGCTCCCCAACCCTCCTGCCCCTTCGCCTCCCGTTGCCCTGCCGACCGCTGTCTGATCTCGTTGGCTGCCGAGCCCTTCGCAGCTGTCCGACAAGCGCCCTCCCTCGCGGGCCCTTCTGGATCGCCGAATGGCAGAGACACTTGTCTTCATGCCCCGACATATGCCCATTTTTTTCCCATCCAATGAATAGCCCCATCTTGGATCAGCTTATCCGGTGGGCGGCTCGCAGGTCGCCGGTGGCGCTCGACGCAGCGGCGGGAGATGTGTCGCTCGATGTGCGTTTCGGTCGACCAAGTGCGGCGTCCTATGCACAGCAGGCCAACTGACGCGTTCCTCCGCCACATGGGTCACTCGCCCGCCCGCGGACACCACATCCACCCGATGCATCCACGCAGTACGACCGCTTGGCGGGCGAGGAGCCGGAGCCGCGGCCGTCCGGCACCCGGCCACCGCCCACCATCAAGGGCAATGGCGGGGCCAACGACGGGATGTTCACCGGGTCCGATGCCCAGCTGGCGGCCATCCTCCTGGGGATCCTGGGCTTTTTCATGGTCCTGTCGATCGTCATCCTGGTGGTGATATTCATCAAGGCCCGCCAAAGGCGCGTGGTCCTGAATCGCCACTTTCACATGGACGAAACGGTGGCCGAACGCCGGCTGCGCGATGGCTACGCCGACATGGACGCCACCGCCGGGCCGGGGAGTACCCTGGCCGCGCTGGCCATCGGCCCGACCTCCGGCCGCCCGGCCGGGGGCGGCCCCGTCGGCTCGAACGCCGCGCGCATTGACTTCCTCCTGTCCCAGGTGTCGCAGAGCCGACGTGGCTCGGCCGCCTCGGGCCATGGCGTGGAAAAGGCCTGCCCCGATGCGCCTGCCGGCTCGACGACCATCGATCTGACCGAGGCCATCTTGCGGTACCACCAGCGGCTGGTCATGCAGCAGCGCTTGCACCGGGATGTCGGCGATACCCTTCCGGATTTGGGCAACATCGTTGTCGCCCCGCCGATGCGGGAGTTCGCCGGCGGCGCAGGTGGCGCGCCCTTGGTATTTAATGCCACCCGACCGGAGGCGGCCGCGCTTCAGCAGCGGGTCCAAGAGTGTCCCCAGTCCTTTTAAGCCCCGGCCCCCGGGGTTCTTCATCTTGTCAGGCAAGATGGCATTCAGGAAGCAGCGGGGGGAGCGGGGGGAAGTAGACGCGCAAGCAACACCGCTCGGGGAGATAGACCCGTGCCCTGTAGCGAGATCTGCGAGGCGCGGCCCTTTCCGGCACGCGCAGACACGCGACGCCGAAGTGCATCCTGTCCTTGAGAAGCGCCCCGGATATTCCACTCTCTCGCCCTTTGCACCTGCCTCCTGGTCTGCTTTTTAGATGCCCCCTGGGCGAAAATGACCGACCTGCTGTGCCCGGCCCATGGTCCTTGGCTGCTGGTCCAGCGACGCCATGGTCGACTGGGTCGCAGGAGCTGATATGCGAATGCATCCCCCCCCCCCCC